GCTTAATATATCATTAAGCTTCATTAAATGGAATGTAATAAAATGAGAAGTGAAAGTTTTGTGACAGTTGTTCTTTAAGTCAATATGGATATAGTGTGGATGATTGATGGGTAATGTCTGAGATCCATATGGTATGGCGTATCTGGACTTTTCAGTTGGCTTCTATAACCAGCCCTGCCTTGAAATCCTGGTTGTGTTGCATTTGCAACCACTGACATTTTCCTTTTTGCACTACAAACTCTTTTCAAAAGTTCTGCTTGTTTTAAAGTCATGATATAGTTATCCGCATTGTAATAACACACTCCACAAAGATTCCATGTGTACGTGAAAATACTCAAATTGAATGCATCAGCCAAGTGACCCTCTTTGATTTGAGATGAATTGACAGAGTTTCCAGTAGAAACCTCTGCAAGTGAGACAGCATATCATAACACATCAGGTAGAAGGGAATCCACAGCAGAATAACCAGAATTATGTATTTTCAGTGAGATCTTATCTGTATTTCTGAAATAAAGAAGTCAAAATGCATAATATTCCATAGTTTATTATTCCACAGCTCGTAACAGGCCTGCCCATTAAGACTTACAATAACTCAATTTAAAACTGATCACAAAATGCTCAATCAATTTCATTTTACGTGTTTTAAGACTTTTTTTTTAATTGGGGATAGCAAGGTTTGGCAATTAAATAACAAAACAAATACAATACATCGACATTCAAGTATGAAGTAACAAAAACTTTGAATAATTTAGGCTCTAGAAATGCCAAATTTCAGTATAACAAGCTATACTCATTTTTAAGAATACAATTAAAAACAGTCAATTATCAAGAACTGTAAGGCATGCAAGAATACAAAAATGATAACAACAAAAAATATTAAACAATTATTTTACTGTGTTGTACACTCCTCAAGGAGAATTCATTATTCTTCAGTATTATAGATACTGGTAAAGATGATATAACAGAATTTTAGTTAAACAAATATCTCCTAGTGTCACTTGGTTAAGATGTAATAGGCGTGGGAAATAAAATGATGGCTTGCCAGGTACAAATATGGCAAATTCAGGTAGAAATGGAGCTAGGGGTTCTAAGATAAGTACAGTAGTTATTTCTAACAAGGTGAAATAATATAACATCACAGGTGAAAATGTGATATTTTTCTTTAAGGTCTATTAGAGAGAATACAAACTTATCCCAGTGTTTTTTAAAATGATATATACATAATAAACCAGGATTTATACATTGTATTTAGTGACGTAGTAAATCTGTTCATCATTATAACATTTTGGATTAGTCACTGTAGCAAGGAAAGGGGGGGGGGGGGGTAACCCTATGTTAGGGCAAGATTGTTTCCACACTCTTATTGTAAGTGCCGGTAATATATTGTTTACTATTTTTGGTGGCAATTAAGAGTGTGACAGAGGGAGTATAAAAAGTAAAGAGTCCAAAAAACTGTTTAAATAATCTGCAAAGGTATACAATCAATTTCATGACTAAACTGAACTGCTAAACCATATTATTTTGAATTAACCTTCCTATGTACCTTACATCAATATATTTTTGTTAAACTAAACCTAACCACCCTATTTCCCAAGATAAATGTGTGCAGCAATTTCTTGATTAAACTCGCACACGTTACATTACATCCATGTCTCTCCCCTTCATGCCCCCCTTCCCCTCCTTGTACCCCTACAAGCCATGTCTCCCACCTTCAATCATGTCTTCCCCCTCCCATCCATGTCCACTTACCAGTTCTATCTATGTCTCCCTCTCCTCCATGTCCCCCTCCTCTCCATTTCCCTCTCCTCCATGTCTCCATCTCCTCCATGCCCCCTTCCCTTCCATGCCCACTTACCAATTCCATCTATGTCCCCTCTTCTCCATGTTCCCCTCCCCACCATGTCCCCACTCCTCTCCATGCCCCCCTCCTCTCCATGTCCCCCTCTTCCCCAACTGGCAGACAGCCTGTTTCCTCACATAACGATATATGCCCCCACCCCCTCCACTTACCTGTCTAGGCAGGGGATGGGGCCTCTCACTGTCCAGCATGCTCTGCCTTTTTCACTCTGTTCACCGGGTAGTCACGTGACTCCTGGCACTCCTACACTGAGGGGAAAGCCGTCCCTAGCTGGCTAAGTGTGCGTGCTGTTCCCTTATGGAGCCGCACAGTGCCTGCAGGTCAAGGGGAGCACATAAGTCAGTTGTCAGACTGACAACTGATTTTTGCGTTCCTGGTGGGGGCTGGTTTAACGTTAGTTAGCTTGTTAAACGTTAGAAATAGGTTCACACGAAGTGGTGCAAACTGGCTGAATCCCACCACTGCCACTACTCCATACTAATTCTTTTTGACCTCTCTGCTGCCTTTGACACCGTTGATCATGCACACCTTCTTCAAACTCTTCAATCACTCTGTCTCTGTGACTCTATTCTCTCATGGTTTTCCTCTTATCTCTCCCAACACTCATTCAGTGTCTCCTTTTCTAATGATACCTCCTCCCTTCATCCTGTCTCGGTTGGAGTCCCCCAAGGCTCTGTCCTTGGTCACCTTCTATTTTCTCTTTATACTGCCTCTCTTGGCAAACATATTGCCTCATTTGGATTCCACTACCACCTGTACGCTGATGACACTCAGATACGTCTCTCCTCCCCGGACCTCTCCCCTGCCATCCTGCAATGTGTCACTGCTTGCCTTTCTTCCATCTCTGAGTGGATGTCCTACCACTTTCTGAAACTAAATCTCTCAAAAACTGAGCTCCTTGTCTTTCCTCCTCCTAATATTGATCCTCCTCTTTCACTCTCCCTTCAAGTTAGTGGTATCCACATCAGTCCATCCTTGCAAGCGCCATACTTGGCGCCATACTTTATTCTGGCCTCACCTTTGAGCCTCACATCCAGCATGTTACCAAATCCTGTATATTCAATTTTAAAAACATAACCCACGGGGCGTGGCCTAACCACTGAAGCGGAGGTCGCAGGATTGCTGAGCTCCAGGCCTGAAACTGACAAAACCCACTAAAAACACCCACAATCGGGTCAAATCCAACCCAGACGGACCCAAATGTTTAGGCGAACGCGATGGGGCGAAAGACAAAGAAGTTAAAGCCTGAAAAACTCCACCCGGGCACACATATTGGCGAGTTGTGGCGGAAGGCCCAAGAAGCCTCTATCCCTAAAATGGCATCCCTCCATGGCGGATGCTCAGACTTCTACAGTGAATCTTCGGATGATGCAGAAGGGGAGCCCCTACAAGCCAACCCCAAACTCCCACTGAATCGAACACAGCCCCCACCACCCGCCGCAACCCCTACCCCGGTGAGCATGGAGGCCATCAGAGAATTAATGGCAGACCACCATAAAAAAATATCAGCAGATGTGGCCTCAATTCGGGACACGCTGCAGGGCCTCAATGGACGACTTGGAGCTGTGGAACACACCACGCAAGCCCAAGACACACATATCAAGGAGCTACAGCAAGAGATACTGGCGCTGAGGAACCTGTCTAAACAAAATGACTTACGATTTGCTGAGCTGGAAGATAAACGTCGGCTGAAGCATCTCAAGATCAGAGGAATAACAGATACTGTGACGGACTCTGAACTGCCCCATTTCGTGCGGCGGCTCCTCACGGTAATGCTAAACCCAAAACAAGCCAAAGCAGTGATACTGGATGAAATATTCCGTATCCCAAAACCTGCTAAAGCTCCAGACGCAGCCACCCGTGATGTGATCCTGCAGTTTCAAGCCCAAAGAGACAGATCCGCAGTCCTGGCCGTGGCCAGGCTCCAACAGACCTACCCCTTCGAAGGTATGAACCTAATGTTTTATGCGGACCTCTCGGGAGCCACTTTAGCCTGGAGGAGATCCCTGCAACAATTGACATCACTTCTGCGTGAGAAACATGTCACATACCGCTGGGGCCCAGCTCACACCCTGACGGTAACAAAAGGCGAAGATACGCATAAAATTCACTGCATACAAGAGGCACCGATGATCCTGGGGCTGCTCGGCCTCCCCCCGAACGCATTGACCCAGCCAGCACCTAAGGACAGACCTCGGAACCCCCCAAGTTGGGAAACGGCTAGCGCTGCTGAATTTGTCCCCAGACGACAGAAAGAATCACCCACCGGCACTGCCACAACCTGAAAGTCAATTCTGGACTGTGTGAGTTACCGGGACATTGCCCCACCATCAGGCATATTATGTATAGGGACGGCCATGCACAACCCCAACCCACACTGCTGAACAACCTTATCGTTTCCACCCCACCATTATGTTTAGCACTATGACTTAAACTGTTTTCCCTTTCCTTGTTATTTTCTCTCGAACACCATAGTGAGCTTGTAGTTCACACCAACCAGTTAAATCTGACGCCAGGCATGTTCACTCACCTCTTAGTACACTCGATATTACCTTGCCAAATTATAACAATATACATTGTTTATTCCTGATACGACACGGTTTGTGCCCATAGACCTGTGGTCGCGAATGAGGCACTATGGAACTATATGTACAATGCATAGCATAACAAAAACTAAGTCTTAAAGGAGGGAAAAGATAAGACATAAAAGGAGGAGAGGAGGAGGGGAAAAATCTAGGTGTTAAGGTGTATTAGACTGCTCACACCCGAGTTCTGTTGTCTTCCTAGTTTATCTTATTTTATTACTCTATTTCATCACCTAGTACTTCGACTATCAAACGTAGTCTCTGGTACAAACTCGCATATTAGACACTATTTATGTTAAGCTTGATCTCCCCGCTGACATAACCATAAGAAATGAACGCTGAGTATCCACCTCAACATCCTTACGGGTGATTATTCTGTGTATAACTTAACCAGAGACCGCTTAGGTCAAGAAATGCCAGATTGTTTATTTCCCCTTATTTATTTATTTATTTATTTATTTTTCTCTTCTCCTAATGCTAACGAGGACTTGGTATGTCCCTCTCTTTTTGGTGGTATATTACTTTCCTTGTATATTTTCCTTTAACACTTAACTTAATTTACATTTAATTGCACTTAACTTAGCCAAACTTTATTATTTTCTATCAAGTCAGTAAGTCAACCAGTATTAACGCCTGTACTTATAGCCTTAACTGACACGCAAGACCAAAACTCATAAATATAACTTCACCTACAAACTACAACTTAACTTTAGCTAATATGCCGATATCTCCACGATACTAATGTATCAACGCTGTGTTTATACTTCCTGACTTTACCATTGTGACAAAGACTAACGTTCAGCACATCTCAAGCGTCGCTCACTCATTGCTTATATTTTCTTTTATAAAACTAAAAATGTGCTGTATAGTCATATGCCACGTTATGTTTCCACTGTATATTACTGCTTGTGACTGCTGTTGTGGCTGAACAAGCCTATTGTTAATCCATGCACATCAAAAATAAAGAATAAAAAAAAAACAAAAAAAAAAAACATAACCCGCATCCGCCCCTTTGTTACCCAAGATGCTACTAAGGAGCTTGTCCGTGCTCTAGTAATCTATCGCATGGATTATTGTAACTCTCTCCTAATTGGTCTTCCCAAAAGCCATAATACCCTGCTACAGTCTATAATGAATGCTGCCGCCACACTGATTTTCCTCTCTAGTCGATCCTCTCACACCTCACCCCTTGTATTCAATAGGAGTCAATTCAAAGTGCTAATCCATACCTATAAAGCACTTAACAATTCTAGCCCCTCTTATATCTCCTCACAGATCCATAGAAATGCTTCTTCTCGGTCTCTCTGCTCTGCCCGTAACCTTCTCCTGTCCGCTGCTAGCACCCATATAGCCAACTCACGCTTGCGGGACTTCTTTTTCCCATGACTGTAAGTAGGAGAGGGAAAAAAAAATCTTAGTTTTTTAGGAATCAATGTCACTCACTACACACACAACCCAGCCAATGGAAATACTTGCACACATATGATTTACAGACTCCCCACACAGTCTATGCACATATACAGCCAGGGCCGACTGGAAATACAAAGCAGCCCAGTAAAAAAAAAATGTATGCCAGCACTATAAGTCTTTGTGCCACATAGTGTGTGTGTGTGTGTGTGTGTGTGTGTGTGTGTGTATATATATATATATATAAAAACACAAGATCCAGCGCACTCACCTATCCACGAAACAGCAACTTCAATGTTGAAAGATTTTATTAGTTTTTTTAAAAACACCTAATCTAGGCAAAAATAATGGGGGTTTAGTTACATTATATGATCATACATTGCATAAGCCTGCCACAACGTCAATGTACCCCATCTTTGGCAGGTCCTACACTAACAGCCTAATGTCTGCTCTTATGAGATTAACCACTTACTTGAGGAAAAAAAAATTCCATCTGGGGCTCTCTGCAGTACAAGGCTAAATAGGGCCCTGGGATGAGGCACCTGTGACAGGGAGGGGTGCAAAACCAAGGAGTTGGCTAGACTCCCAAATATATACATATGAAACAAGGGGGGGTTGGCTGCACTCACCTGAACATGCATAAATGGGGGCGCTACTAGGGGCCAAATAATACAAAACACAAGATGCAGCGCACTCACCTATCCACTAAACAGCAACTACAATGTTGAAAGATTTTATTCGTTTTTTTAAAAACACCTAATCTAGGCAAAAATAATGGGGGTTTAGTTACATTATATGATCATACATTGCATAAGCCTGCCACAACGTCAATGTACCCCATCTTTGGCAGGTCCTACACTAACAGCCTAATGTCTGCTCTTATGAGATTAACCACTTACTTGAGGAAAAAAATTCCATCTGGGGCTCTCTGCAGTACAAGGCTAAATAGGGCCCTGGGATGAGGCACCTGTGACAGGGAGGGGTGCAAAACCAAGGAGTTGGCTAGACTCCCAAAAATATTCATATGAAACAAGGGGGGGTTGGCTGCACTCACCTGAACATGCATAAATGGGGGTGCTACTGGGGGCCAAATAATACAAAACACAAGATCCAGCGCACTCACCTATCCACTAAACAGCAACTTCAATGTTGAAAGATTTTATTAGTTTTTTTTTTAAAACACCTAATCTAGGCAAAAACAGTGGGGGTTTAGTTACATTATATGATCATACATTTATGCATGTTCAGGTGAGTGCAGCCAACCCCCCCTTGTTTCATATGTATATATATATATATATATATATATATATATATATATATATTTATCATTGAAGTATATACATACTATATACACAACATTTAATATTGGTAAGTATCTTATTTAATTCAACAATTAGTCCTTTCAGAGTAAAAAATGTATAGCATGTGAGTAAGCATATTCATTCAGAGACAGACAGTCTCAATGACACACACAAGCTCACTGACACAAAAACACAAGCTCACTGATACACACAAATATACTCACTGACAGACAGTCTCACTGACACACAAGATCACTGACACACACAGACAAGTTTACTGGTACACACACACAAACTCAGTACAGACAAACTCTCTGACACACACACGTTCACTATAGACAAGTTCACTAACAAGCAGGCACATACAAGATCATATGCTGCTGAGTATTTGAAGTCTACCTAGCATTGAAGGCTGTGGGAACATTGGGAGGTGAAGTTGCCATTTTCCGGCCTCTTTTTGCCAGGAAGGTCTGCTGCCTGAGACTGGGGGCAGAGCTTGTGTGCAGGAGTGGAGATTAAGTGCAGAGGTGTAGGAGAAGTGGCTTGGAATTGTGAAGGGAGACATACAGTGCTCAATCCGGCCATCGGCAGCCTTAAAGTGGCCGCACCATCCCCTAGTACCTCCCTCCTTAATTTCCTTCGACTTTGACAGTCTGAGAGAAAAAAATTATTAAATGACCTTAGGGCTTCCTTACTCGGTAATCCAGTGGGTCAGTCTGGCCCTGCATACCGACGTGCTCATACATACACACACAAAACACAGTGCATTCAACCCTCACAATGCTCATGTTCACACATTCACACACAACACATATGGCATCTACCCCTCACATAGCATATGCTCACACATTCACAGTATCCTCCAACACACACATCATACACAGATTTTGCTCACACACAGTCTTAACCCACACACAACAAACACAGTGTTCGCTATACACAAAACACACAACCTCCACAAAAATACCTTAATACAATCAGCTTCCACACACAAATGCCAATCCTCTACATGCAATCCTCAATATATGCAGACTGGTGGAGAGACAATTACGATAAAAGTTCAGATTTTTTTAGTCAAGAACTCTTTATACGATTGCTGGCGGACCATGAATCCGTACGAAAGAGATTACTCCTTTTATTCGCATATATACCAGACATATTCACGTATCGATATGTTTTTTTGTAAAAGAGGGCATGTTAGGCCAAATTATAAAATCCACTATTGGGTCCATAGTTTTATCAGACCACGACCCAATCTTCCTAGACATTAGTCTAAAGGAAGGTTTTAGACCTAGGACAAGATGGAGACGTAATGAAAAACTTCTGAGAGATGAGGGTATTAGGGGGAAGTTGGAGATAGAAATGGAGAATATTCTAAAAATTTATCGTAATGGTGAAGTTTCAACACCTATGGTCTGGTGCACCTTAAAAAGCTTTATAAGAGGTCTATTTATTAAGTTTGGTTCGGAACTTAAACGCAAGAGAGGAGTACCTCTACAAGATTTGAGGATAAAAATGGCAAAAAAGGAACAGTTAAATAAAATCTTAGCACGTCTAAAATAAGGTTAGCTATCAAGAATAAAATCTATGAGAATGTTAATAAAAACTTAACTTTTCTTAGACAAAGATGGTATAATAACAATAAAATTAACAGAGATCTATCTAACAAACTTAAGAACCAGCATAAGGATAAATCTATTGGAAAACTAATAATCCGGGGAGATACGCAAAGGCTTTTGCAGATTTTTATAGATCATTATATAATTTGGGTGAGGTTAGGGCCAATAAGAGCAATAAGAGCAAGATTGACAGTTTTTTAAAATAAACTTAAATTACTATCGATAAGTCAAGAGAAACTGGAACGTTTGAATGCTCCTTTTGTGATCAAGGAAGCAAGGTGAATGGTTAGAGTTAGGACCCACCTAGGGGGGTCTGCCTTGACGTTGACAGGTGGGCTTATCCTCTCATTGGAGGTAACTAAAAAACCACCATTTGTTTAAAAATACATAGGGATTAAGGAGAGAGCACAGGTAACTTGTTTTTCTTTGGTTTTTACTATATATTGGGGCTGATGTGTACTGTAGTCTTTGCTGCCGCCCAGTAGTGATGGGAGTGAGCGCAGGACTTATCTTTCTGCATTTGTATCCTTTTGTAATGTCTGAAATAGTGGATGCGATAGAAAAGTTAAAACCAAACAAGGCTCCCGGCCCAGACGGCTTTTCTGCTATATTTTATCAAGTTTATACTTAAACTATTGCTCCAATTCTTCTAGTGATGTATACTATGGTATCTAAGGACGCTACATTCCCTAAGGAGATGATGCTGGCTTCAATTATCCTGATTCCAAAGCCAGACAAGGACCCTACAATAATTACTAATTATAGACTGATATCCCTAATTAATATTGATATTAAATTAATTTCACGTATCCTTGCTAATCGACTTAAAGAAGTTATAGGAGACTTGATTGATTGGGACCAGTCAGGATTTGTGAAAGGGAGAAGCTCTTCTGAGAACACAAGTAGAATTTTTAATATGTTATTTAGAATGAATGAAAAGCAAATGGGATCTGTTACAATGGCTTGGGATGCTGAGAAAGCCTTTGACAGAGTCAGTTGGAGGTTTCTTGACTCTGTCATGGGCCATTTTGGACTAGTGGGCCTATTTAGAAATAAAACCTTGTCTCTATATATGAACTCCTAGGCTAAAATTAGCAGCCTGTTTTTTGAATCAGACCCCTTTGATATTAAAACCGGTACTAGGCAGGGTTGCCCATTAGCTCCTCTTTTATATATTCTTACAATTTAACCGTTGGCCATAATGATACGACAAAATCCTAAGATAAAGGGGGTGGAGTTTAGAGAGGAGGTTATTAAATTATCTTTGTTTGCGGATGATGTTTTACTTACCTTGGTTGATCCATTAATTTCAATTCCAGCTCTATTAGAAGATATCTCGATCTATAGCAACTATTTCAACTATAAAGTTAATATTAATAAGTCTCAAATGCTACCCTTTCTTTTGACTAAGGCTCAGATAGAGGACTTGTCCTCTCATTTTCATCTGGTATGGGCAAGAGATA